AAATGTTTTAAATCTTATCCTATATTATAGCATTATCCTATTTAAATAACCTGTTACATATCTTAATACATTGTTAAGAAAGATTTTTATTTACTTATCTCTTAAATGTGACTTAGATTCTTGATTTTCGTTCCTAATCCAACATATAAAGATGAAGCTGATTTTAACAATATATTATCTCATTTATGATTTTTAGCTATTCAACATATTAAATTGGTTGTGGTATTGAAAAATAGATAAAATTTAGTTAGTAAAGTGCAAATAAAAAGTAAGTGCAGATCTACTTACCTAATAAATCTAACTATCTCTTTTTAATATAGTTCTATAAATGTATAAAACTTGAGCAAGCCATCCATATTATTAGGTTTACTGTTGTTAATAATAACTATAAAGTTATAAATCTACATATTTACTTGCTTTATAACAAATCTCAATATTGTTATCACATGAACAGTCTTTTTCATTATAAAGATTCGAGAACTTTTGATTAAATTGATTAAATATTAATTTTTAAATTTAAGAAATTGTTCTTAAGCCCTATAATAGTAGAGAATGGTCCACATGTAATCTTATAATTGTATTTTCTGTCATTGTGATATATAAATAAAAAAACCCAAAAACTTATCTTTATTTTCTATTTAATAAACCTTTAATGAATTCTTTATTATCTTAAAACATTCCTAAACCTGAAATATAAGATAATATTATTTTTCAAGCCATAATAATTTTTCTTTATATTGCAAAATAATACTACTATACAAATCACAATAAACATATCTTGCTTTATAAAACTGGATTAGATCTTTTGATAATATTGAAAAATGATTTTATTTCACTCATCTATACTAGTCAAAAAAATATAATTTTGAGATAATCAAGTTTATTGTGTCTAAATTTTAGTATTTATTGGTTAATAATTTCAAATGATGTACAAATCACAAATCAACTAAAATTTTTTATGCAATGGATTTTCATACCAACGTTTATCTGAAGCCTATTGATATTGCGCCAAAAATTTACTCAATCTTATGATTGATTTTCATACCAAAAGTTACCCAATATTATTATTAATTTTCAGAGGCAGTTTGGGCCTTTCTACTGCAAAAGAATATTGTCTTAATGAAATTTATTATAAAAAATTTTAAATTGATTTGTCTTCAGAAATCTAACTAAATACGTAAATTGTATCAACTATAGTTTTAGGTAGTTTTAAAAACTTGCATTTCACAAAAACTGCGATATAAACTTTGACTAATCAAAGCTATTTTTAATTTATTGCTAGTAGAAAATGCTTTTATTTCACTTATCCATGCTCTTAGAAGATATTACACTTTCTTTAAGTATCCAATTTTCAGCATAGCATGAAATTTGAATCAATAGTTTTTAAACATTCTTTTGATATAAGAATATTTTAGACTTTAACAAGCACCTACATATAAATTTATAGATCTATTAGCTCACCAGTTTCAAATATAATTATATTTATTTAAAAGTTAATTATATTCTATTGCATTTAGTATTCTGATCTGGCCGATCTGAATGAATCGATACTGGCATACTATAATATATTTTATTATATAGATAGTGATCATCCCTATAAAAATTTTTTGAAAAATATATCACAGTTTTCTTCAGACTATTGTTCCATTATCGATCCAGAAAATGCTCATTTTCAGAAAAAATATATATAAATTCTTGGTCATTTCCATAGAATCATAAGAAATCTCAGGTAAAAATCAAATCTTATCTTATGAAGTACAAAAGATTAGAAGCTAAATCTTACCTGAATTTGATTTTTACACGAAAAGTACCTATCTTAACCTTTATCTAAAGTGACCTAACCCTAAAATTAATTAAATTACAAGAGTCTATTTCACTTTAAACATATTCTATACTTAGGATTTTTTATCTAAAAATTCTGACTGTTGGGATTTTTAATTGTCAGGATTTTTAACTGTTAGGATTTTTTGTCAGGATCATAACCTGTCAGGATTCTGTCTGTTGGGATTTTGATCTGCATCCAAATTATATAGTATGAATAAATAAAATTAAAATACAGTTAATTTTATATAAATTTATTTAAATTAATAAGTGTTTTTATACTTACTATAAAAATTAATATATACAAATAAAATAAAATTAAGTAGTAAAAATAATTAATTAGTAATATTTATAGAAATTAATATATTACTACACTACTGTATATTTTTGTTAATGTATTTTATTTATTATATTTTTGCTAAAAATCTCTATATAGTCACTTTTTTTTTAAACATAATTGTGACTATATAGAGAGAACCTCTATATTAGTTACACCTCTATATAATTACCATTTTTTGTATCCCGAAGGTGTGACTATAGAGGAGAATGACTGTATAAACATAACCTCTAACTATTTACAAAATTAAAATACTATCTTACTCTTAACTAACACATTCCTCTATCATATCATTTTATTTTTTATCTAAGTTATTTTATTTTATTTAATTTAATTATTATATGCTGCAAAAAAAAAACAGATTAATGAACCAAAAATTCTTAGAAAAATTAATTTTTAAATTAAATTTTATAATTATAAAAAAACATATTTCTAAAACAATACCACAGCTTAAAATTAAGCAAATTTTGTAACCTATATCTGCAGCTTTTATTAATATAACTGAATTGAATCTTAAACAAAAAATGATTTTAATCTTATTCTGAATTTTATATAAATTTTTTTTAAAAAGTTTCAAATTATCGCACTTTTTGCACCACTTAGCATCTATATAAATAATGCTTAGATATAATATTAATACATACAATAAAAAACAATCTGTATGCATGCTTTACATATTAAACTAATTCATAAAAAAAATATTCAAAATAAAATCTCATACCTATTTCAGTACCATAAAACGATTTTTATATGACTAACTTTTTAAGTCCATTTGATTTTACATTATCTATACAATTTTAAAGTACTTTTTAAAAAATCAAACTACAAAGAATAAACATAAAAGAAGTATGTAGAAAGTTTTATTAGAGTTGTAGGGCTCTATCAATAAAACTAATCAAAATTATTTTTTAATTTTAAAAAACTAACACAATAACGACTTCTTAAAGATAAATAAAATTCAATTATTACTATGCAAACTTCTCTGAAACAAAAAGGAACTTTGGTTATTTTTAATAATGAACCTACAATTCTAATAAACTTTCTATATACTTCTTATTGTTTATTATTCGTAGTTTAATTCTTTTAAAAAAGTACTCTAAACAATATAAAATATTTTAAATTAAATAGACTTAACCAACCAATTATAGAAAATCTTTCTATAACTTCAATACGCAAAATATATTTTTATTTTAATCAATATTTAATTAAAAAATTTTATTACAACAAATTACATACGTACTTATACATATAACATATATTAAATCAAGTGACAGGTAAAACTAAAAATTGCAGGCGGGCGACTTCGTCGCCCGCACCATATAACATTGCTAGTTAATCCATGTAAAAATTTGCAAGAATTCCAATATTCTCATGAGCAATGGTTATATTTTAATTTCAGATTTTGAGTTATCAAAAAACATGAATATTACAATGCTTAGAGTACATAGATTATATATACTCTAAGCATGGTTTTGCTGTGTACTCACCCATATAATATTTAGCCAAAATACTATCCCTATCCTAATGAAAAAATTAACCGTGAAAAGGAGCCTGACATTTATAATCCCAATGTAATGATCTGGGAAATTTATGAACGGAATGCTTAGTTCTTTGATAAATTCCTTTAGATTACGATAAACTTTTTATAAAAACTGTCACGGGGTTAATTGATACTGCCACAATAGTACCGAAACTCTGGCTCAGGGTCACTTAGATAATGATCGAACAATACGTTTATTAGTTTATTTGTGGAATGGGGATAGTAAGGCATTTCTTTATTAGATATATTATTTGTACGACGAAACTTGTATTTTTCTTTTTCTTACACTTTTATTTATGCATTTGTATTTCATAATTACTACTTCATAATTACTACTTCATAATTATACTTTACCGTTACCTAATTATTGCGATCGCATTACCCGTAATTACAAAATATCTCATTTTATCACATTTAATTACATCAGAGACCGTCACTCATGTGACAAAAACATCCACTATTGATGGAATTTTAATTACGCTTAAAGAGGTACTTAAGAAAATGAAGATTGTATCGACTATAGATACAGTATTAATAACTCAATTATCAACAATTAAAATTATAATGAAGTCAAGTGGTAACTACATATTTATGTTAATACATAGGTCTATTTGAAAAAGTGCTCGTGTCATCTTTTTTTGTAATTAATAAATTGCTAATATACGTCATTATTAGCTACAATTAGCCTGAATATATAGATGTGATATTTTTTAGCTATTAAATAAAATTAAATACTATAAACTATACATCGTATCCCTTATTACGATTTGCAAAAGAGAAAAAAGCATCCACAGTATTGATTGACGATCAGTTTGATCTATACTTTATATACTTTTTTTTTTTTTTTTTTTTACGCGTATTTCTAGTTCATTACGAGTTGAAATTTTTTATATTTAAAATGTCTTGTAACTTTTATTCAAAAAACAAAAGTATAGAATCAGTTATTGATGTTGTTTCTGCCAGGTTCCAACAATTTAGACCGGAGTTAGCAGGTTTAATGGTTTAATATACGAATTCTGCGTGATCCGATACTAATTCTAATTCTAACGCAATATTACTTTAATTTTAAGGTCACTTTAATTATAAGACACAAAGGACATGTTTAGTTATCATATCACGACATTTTGTTGGTAAATGTTATAAGGTAAGGTTTTTATAGGAATTTTGTCCAAAAGCCACGATTCGATTAATTATATTAGAACTTGACACCAATTGCATCTTAATTCAAATGGATCTTAATCTGAATATTTTATTCAATTCTATTAATTATTATTATTGTTGCATTAGTCTAAAATTAATACGATGTATGGTGATAATCAACAAAACACATCTAACCTAAAAGATCCGAAACAACATTTCGACGGAAAGTTGTCTTTAATACAGATGCGAGCTTTAGAAAGAACTAAAAACGCACTTGAGGAATCCCTAAACAAATTTAATGAAAATTTTAATAAAAATCCGTCAAAGTTTCAAACTAAAGATATTGTTAATGTACGATCTCGTTTTAACAAAGCAATTCAAGATCTATGTAACCTTAAATGCGAATACGAAAGTTTTCCTAAAGTTTCTCATACTATAGCAAAAGGTGTTGCAACTAATTTCAATAATACCGATACTGGCTTATCAAATATACATAAGGAAGCTGAAATTAAGTCATCAAACGCTAAATCTAACGAATTACCACATGTTTCAAAGGATTTCCAAATTAATCCATCATCTCAATCAAGCGAATTATTAATCGTGCCAAAAGATATTGAAATTGGCTCATCATCAGATTTGTCAAAGGATATCAAAAATAGTTATCATTAGTTTATCATTTCAATCTAACGCACCATCAACGATGTTGGCAGATCAATCTAATAACTTGTTAACAGTATTAAACGATCAGCCTAATGTAACGCCTAGAAAAGATGAAATAAGGGAGTCACGAAATAATATAGGCCAAAAGAGAAAATTCATGTCAAGTGATTGTAAAGATGGAAAATATGCAACATTCCCCGACAAAAAACCTCAAACAGGTGAGAAACTGGGTAACTATAAAAATTAATTATATTTATTAAGTTTTCTCGTTCAACATTAAAATTATTAATTGTCTAATTATTTAAAATCTTTTAGTTATTGATGCTCTGAAGAATAAGAGAAATGATCTAAATGCCATTCCTCCCATAAATGACTCGTTATTTGCGGCGATGGCGACTGGATATTGTTCGTATAATGATTCATGGGAAATACTTGAATATTTGGGCGACAGAGTGATCGTATCATGTCTTTTTAAAGTTGCAAAATCTCGGTACCTTTCTCTTTATTTTGCAAATGATATTAGAACAAGTATAATGGGAATAACTACCAATAAAATTTTGGCAGCATATTCCATTTCACTTAAACTTAATGAACTTAATAAAATGCAATTTTTACCTGTAAGAAAGTCTCATGCCGATGCATTTGAGGCTTACTTTGGTGCTTATTTTCTTGTATACGGTGAATTACTCACTTGTATTCATCTTGATCACTTAATGACCCCGTTACTCAATCTTATTGTTTATCACGTTGCATCTGGTAACAAAACTGTGGATGATTCTTACAATTTAGCTTCTGGATATTTTTCAATGTCATGGATTCGGAATATCAATTTTCTTAATTGATAGTGTTAAAATATATTATTTTCATTGCTGTATTTTAGATGGTTGCTTAAAAAATAGCACAATTAATTTTATCAAATTAACATGCATAGTGTAGTAGTGTCGATGTGATGACCGTTACATTAAGAATTTGCTATTTTGGGTTAGAATTTTGATGAAAAATTATGAAAACATTAGGCTATCACTGATTTTTTTTGTTGGAATACTTAAATGTAAATTTTGACTTTTTTCATAGCAAACACGCATGCTTTATTTGATTTCCATTGGCCATAATTGCGTCAACTACCCCAGGTGTGCCAACAACATAGATAGACTTTCTCTTAGTACTATTTAATTAATAATATATACCAAAGGTGGTAATGCAGAGATTTTAGTATTAAGTTAAAAGGAGATTACTACCGTATAGCACTGCTTGTAGTACCCGGGGTCTTATTCAAACCTTTGACTTTTGAAATTGATTAGTACCCGTGGGTACTTTGTATGGAACCGGTATTGTATTTGGGGATATTCATATGAAAAGTAATAAATTAATATAGTTATACCCCCGGGCCTTATTCAAGAAATAGACCGATAGGACAGTTAATAATACCCGGGTCTTAATCATGGGGGTATTATTTTATGGGGATACTATAAGCAGTGCTATACGGTACTTAAGGTCAATAAGTACTAGTTATCAGTAGGTCTCCGCAAAGGACTGGACTACCCGTGTGTACCCTGTGGGTAGTCCTTTAAGGACCGGATTAGGATATTGATTTTTGAGTTTAGGGTAAGGGCCGGACTTGAAATATTAAGCCCTTGTTTAGACGGGTAGGATTAGGGTAGTATTACTGTCCAGCCCAGGGTACCGATGGATACCTGTAATATATTTCAATTTGATAATTTTTTATAGCTCTTGATTGTACTACTTTACACAAATCTCAGAAATACATATGATTAGAGATAGGTTTCATGCGTGCCTATAATTCCTCAATTTATAGCTGCCCGATACGAAAGTATCGGAGCAGCCTTTTGTCACGAATCGAACACGGAATGTAAATTGCAGAGGATTCAGTTATGATTAATTGCATGATTAGGATGGATCATGCAAGGTGTAATGACGAAGTGATGTAGTTTTTCCTATTAGTAATTAGTGATCTTGTAGTGATTACGTAACTATGTGGAGTTTTGATGAAAGCTTATTTAATGGGATGGTATTTTTTTCTGGGCAAGATAATTTCTGTTTTTTCTGCTAACCCGACTTTGTCTGGTTTTTTCGTCCCGCCCTACCCAACTCTGAGGTGTTGCTCTGGCAGTCTGCATGTTTTTTAATTCGATAGTTTGTCGTGACGACAATTATTGCTTAGGAATTATAGCCTGTCGAACGACAGTTATAATTTGCTGAAGTGACCTACTGAGGTGGCAGGTGCGAAGAGATTGCACATAACATATAGCATCTTTTCTAAACAGCAGCATTCTGATGATAATCTAGTATAATCATTGCTTAGTTGACTTTAGATGAATTATTGGTTCTGGAGTATAAGTGCCTGTCGGGACACAGTCACAAGGAAATTTTCTGGTATAATTATTGCTTAGTCTTTTTTAAATGAAATTAATCATGGTTCTGAAGTGGAAGTGGCCTGTCAGGATGATAGTCACGAAGAAAAATTTTAATTTATGAATTGTGACCTGTCAGACGATTCTCAAAAGTGGCTTGTTGGGACAACAGTCACAAGAATTCTTGTATCGTACATAGCACCTTGATTTGAGTTAAGGGTTTTTTACAGGTAGATTGCTTAGTTGATTGTAGATTAATTTAGATGAATTATGGTCTGTTAGACGATGGTCATAATTTAATTTTGGGTAGAAGTGGACCCTCGTATTGGCTCTAGCGACATAGTGATTTGTTAGAGGATGTTATAAGTTGATGCACAGCAGGATATGGTCACTGCTTTAGGAATATTAGTGAGATTTGAATCTTAAGTGTTCAGTGAATGATCTGTTGAGACAACAATTACTAGGAACTATCACAGTTAGCATAGTGAATTAATGGTCGTTGCATCAGTGGAATTTGGCCTGTCAAACAACAGTCAAATTTTGAGTGTTTCAGTAAGAGGCCTGTCAGGATGACAGTGACAAAATGTTTTTATATATTTGTGCACATTACGCTTGGGTAGGTATTATTTTTGATAGAAAAAGCGTAATGGATTAATAGTCGTTGCCTTAGTGAATATCACTGGGATTTGGCCTGTCAGGCGACAGTCAAATCTTAAGTTTTCAGGAAGTGGCGACAGTCACAAAGGTTTTACATATTGTGAACAGCCACAAGGAATTATCGCATGTTTGTACATATTACACTCGGATAGATGGCATCAGTGGGATTTGGCCTGTCAAACGACAGTCAAATCTTAAGTTTTCAGTAAGTGGCCTGTCAGGATGACAGTCACGGATAGGTATAGATAGAGCATAATGGATTAAGAGTTGTTGCCTTAGTGAATATCACTGGGATTTGGCCTGTCAGATGACAGTCAAATTTTAAGTTTTCAGGAAGTGGCCTGTTGGGACGACAGTCACAAGTTTTTTACATATTGTGTACATTACGCTCGGGTAGGTATTGTTTTTTGGTGGATAGAGCGTAATGAATTAATACTCGTTGCCCTAGTGAACATCAGTTGGATTGGCCTGTTAGACGATAAGTTCAGAGGGATTTGGCCTGTCAGACGACAGTCAAATCTTAAGTTTCAGGAAGTGGCCTGTCGAGACGATAGTCACAAAGCTTTCACATATTTGTACACATTATGTGAATACCAGTGGAATTTGGCCTGTTGGATGATTGTCAAGTCTTAAGTCTTCAGGAAGTGGCCTGCCAGGACGACAGTCACAAAAGTTTGTGCACATTACTCTCGGTAAATTTCAGCCTGTTGGATGACAGTCAAATCTTAAGTTTTCAGGAAGTGGCCTGTCGGGACGACAGTCACAAAGTGATCATATATTTGTGCATATTACGCTCAGTAAATTATCAAATATATTGGATATCGGTAGGATTTGGCGGTCAATCAGCGCCCTGTGCGAAAGCAATATGGGTCTCGAATCGAACACAAAGTGAAATTAATATCTAAGGATTTTTTATTATAATTGTTGCACGATTGTGTATTTTCGATCTACTAATTGTTTGAGGGCATATTTGGAGGAACAGTTGAAATCTTGCATTCATATGCTTAGTACTCTTGGATTTGGTCAAATCTTGGGTTTCTCATAGGTGACCTATCAGCTCAACAGTCACGGGGTTTATTATTGTTTGCATTAAG